CAGCAGCGGCAGCCTCAACCGTAGAGAACGGAAAAAGTGAGTGAACAAAGTGTGTGCAAGTGATAGGAGCTATTGAAGAAGTTGATCGATTCGTTTGCCGTTGCAGCGCCTAGTGCTGTGCCGTGCGGATGCAAAATGGGGGTGATTAAAATTGGACAAAGAAAAGCAGTCATTATTAATTTGCAAATTGCCAGCATTGAGATGACAGGTACTAGTCATCTTCGGCGCGACAAATTGAAGCTCGGCGACAAAGAAGTGCGTCGGCTGAGCGAACTTGAGCGAACGGTCGTCATCGTCGTCGTCGTCGTTCGTAGCAGCGGCACGACGTCACTTGGTGCCTGGCCATTGGGGAGAAAGGAAGAAAGGAAGAAAGGAGAAGGAGTACGCCGCAAGCAGGCAAATTGAAATTGTCAATGCTACCCCTGTTGGATGACTGAGGAGAATGACTCTGTTGGTGGTGCCGTTGAAACAGCCACTGTTGAGCTGTATAAGCAGTGTGTGTGTTGGCCGCCTGTGAGCAATAAAATCGGCTTACACATGCACATATTAAATTAGAGTTTGGCAATTTTGAAACTTTGATGATAGATTAACGTTATTATTGAATGCTCCAAGTGAGTCTGGTGGCAGCCGCGCAGACGAAGCCGTCCAGGAAAAGGGTCGGTCGAAAGTGCTGCTTCGCCTGAAGAAACTCCGATGACTGCTTTCTACAACAACTTTAGTCAAACAGCCACTGGCTGCTGCTCTGTAGCTCGACTGTAGCTTGACATGCTACAGTCATCGGTGGAGAAAAAGGGAGAAAAAGAGAGTGTCGCACTGCCATGTTAGACCTTTGAGCTACTTAGATATTAAATGAATTATTTGTTGTCAATATATGGAAATAAGATTGATACATTCTCTGCATATTTGGGCACCACAACCGAAGAGTTTGGATAAGAGAAGAGGGAAAAAAAGCAGCATCGACGACAGAAGGCTGAAGCTGTCGAAGCAATTGGCTGTGCTTCTCAAAAGTCTGCCTCAAAGGGGCTCACTCAAAAGTGCGATGCAATTTGCAAGCAAGGCAAGTTTCAAAAGAGCTGCCGTCTAGAAATTGACGAGTCCAATTAATTACCCCTTCTTACTCTCTGCCATGTGTCTGCTTTTAGTGTATTTGCAGTAGCACTGAAGAGCCACTGGCTGCGCTGATGTGCCACCGATTAATCGCCACAGTGGTACTGAGAGTTACAGAAGTCGGTAGTGTATAGTAGTAATAGCAACAAGAAAGGGAAAAAGAAAATTAAATTAACATAACTGTAGCGCGATGAAAAGCTGAATTTTACAATTCAGCAATTGGCCGCTTGTTGGGTGACACGCTAATTAGCTAATCACGTTAGGAAGAGACCACCAAAGCAGCTGCAGCAAAGTTGCATCGGCCAGCACCGTCACATGTGACACTTGACAGGCCTGGGCTAGAGGAAAGAGGAAGTGTACAATGTGGAAGTAGAGGTGCCTGTCAACGCACTTGGCACGATGCATTCGCCTCAGTGGTCACTTGAACGGCTGCAAATCAAAGTTTAAATTCATGAAACTTTTAATGACGAGAGCCAAACGCGCCGTCAACCTCGGTGCACTGAGCAATTGGCGGTGAATTGAGAATTGCCGTCCAGCAGATTGGCCATTTTCTCACTTTTTCCTCCTCCTTTTCCTCTTCATCCTTTTCCTCTGCTCAGTGGCGAATAAATGCCAATTTGAAGTGCAACAGCAGCATCAGCAGCATCAAATAAGCCCAAGGGATGCTTTTGCTGGCCTCAGCTTAATTAAAGTCAGTTGCAAACTTGCGGTCGCCCTTGTGGTTTTGCAAATTGTTTTCCATAATTATGCTTTCTAAACTAAAAGAGCCCTTTCTGCGAGAAAGTGATCTTAGACAAGCATGCCAAGCCAAAGAGGCACATGATAATGTCGACGCTGATGAAAAAAGATGGAAACAAGTGAAAGGCTTTTAGTGGCAAAAGCTAATACTTGACTCCTGAAGAAAGAGAGTGGGTGAGATGCCTCACTCTAATTACACTGCCAGTTAGTTAAAGCTGTACAGCAAAGAGTGCACAGTGTGCTGATTGAAGCACTCCACAGTGTGTTTGCTACCCAACACACAGGGCAATTCAGTGAGTATGTGTGCCGGTATTGCTGACTGTGGTGCTGGTATTGGAGCCGGCAACGATAATCGCTGGTAATATAGATTGATGTAACACGATTCGAGGCAAGGTTAAGAGGTTTTAAGAAGCTTTGCTGAACATGTGTGCAGCCTGCTCTTGGCGGTGCTGCTGCTGCTGATGGCGGTTTGGGGATGGCCTCTCATTCACTTGACTGCGCCGAGCAAAGCTGTCCCTTTAATTTGTACCTTTGTCATTACTGGTTGCTCTTGCAGGCGCTACTCCTTAATATTAAAGTAATACTTTTGTTTTGTTTGGGCATTAGCTTGGCCTAGCTGTTCACATAGCTGCTGGTGGTGGTCGTCGTCGTCGTTTGCCAACACACACAGACAGCCTGTTCTGCATGTACTCACTTCGACATTCTTCCTTTCATGTACCAACCATTCTTTGCCATTCTTTACTTCCCTCTCTCCTCTTTTCTCACTACTTTCTCCGATTCTTCTTGTCTACACTGCTTGCCCGCTCACAGACATGCACATCCATTTAGCTTTAGTGTAGGCAAAATTAGAAAAAAGTTCCTATTTACACTATCCTCCTCTTTGGCGCCCCTTTTTATTACGTCTCTCCTCCTCTTTCTCCTTCTTTATGTGCAAGTTGGTGTAAAGTCAAAATCTTATCTACAAATAAAATGCGAAGCAGAACATCAACTCGACAAGTTATATGGCGCCTTCACTCTGCTAGCAGTCACTGGGCGCACACAGACTAATGTACCGAAGCTGTATGATCAGACAGCCATTAGAGTGACTGCTTCACTCTGTTCAGGGCAAAAGATCATCGATTTAGGCAGCTATTGAAAGAGAGGTTCTGCCGCTCTGGGCACCTCACTGCTAACTGTGGCTAATCTGGCGCTAATGAATGGCTATAAAAACGGTGAACAAGCTGTCAACAGGACACAGACTCAAACTCCGATTGTCAGGCAGTTAGAGTGCTAAGGAAAGTCATTGAGCTCATTGTTTTTTGCCAGCAGAGCTGAGTGAAAGTTACTGTGTGACACAGGTGCGACAGCAACAACATCATCAAGCGAAGTAAAGTTTCACTGCAGTAGCATCTTCGGAGCACTCGAGTCACTGCTTTTTGCAGCGCCATTCATTCTTCTCGAGTGATTGTAGTGTTTTTCTCGCTCTCTTTGTCTGTTGGCCCTTCTGGCAGCGAGCAAGGCATTCAGTTACGCCATTCTAGCTCTCTGAGTAGTGTCTTGCTGTTACTGATGCTGATGATGGTGCTGGTGCTGGTGCTGTCGCAACGTAGCAATGTCCTCAGCAGCGTTTAAAGTGCAGCAGGGAAATGCGATTGTCTTGTTGATTCATGACATGGCCAAGTGGTGCACTTGTGTCACCGGACTGACGTTTCTTGCCAAGAAGAAGAAAAAGAGACAGAAGAGGAGAAAGAAGAGGAGGAGAAAGAAGAGGGAAAAGGCCCTTTTTTGCCTCTCTTTGCGGACGAAGTGAGCTGTGCTAATTACTGTTTGCTGGCAATCGAACGGCCGAGTGGGCCATGCTCGAGTTGTCTCCAGGCATTGCATTCAACTGTGAGAAGTGAACAGGGGGAGGGGTGCACTGGGGAGGACAAAGGAAAAAGACCACTGTCAGCCACTGTGACTACCACTACGGTTACTAGTGGTGCTGCCTGTGGAAGTACAGCAGACAGCTAGGCACACAGTGCAAGACACAGAACTGTCCAGACGGCAACAATGAGGCGAGATAAAAGCAACTTGCTGCCAGATAAATGGTTGCAGCCGCACCGAGGAGCAGCGCCAAATCAGACAAGCTTTTGCTTTCTTTGGCCAGTCAGCCACTGAGAGTGAATGAGTGAGAGAAAAAGCGCGATTGCAATTTGTTCCACTGTACCATTTGGTTTTAGTTAAGATAAATGATGACGCTAATTTAGCGCCATTCGAACGAAGGACCGTAGTGATGGTGGCGGTAGTGGTGCTGGTGGTGATGGTGGCGGTGGCCAAACAAAGACGGAATAAGAGAGAGAGAGAGAGACAGTGAAAAAGGAAAAAATAAAACAAGAGATAAAATTAAAACGATAATAGGCTCGTTTAGTCAATTTGGAGCAACAAAGGGAATAAATTAGTTGTCAGTGCTGGAGCATCACTGCCCTGTCAGTGTCCTTTTAGCCATTGATTTATTCGACAGGCAGTATTCAGTCGAGTCTACGACTACCACTGCTCTACTGCTCTACCAGTGGCTTCAGTGCACTCAGTACCAGTGTCGACCTATGAGTTGNTTAGCCATTGATTTATTCGACAGGCAGTATTCAGTCGAGTCTACGACTACTGCTCTACTGCTCTACCAGTGGCTTCAGTGCACTCAGTACCAGTGTCGACCTATGAGTTGATATTCCTTTTCGATGTTGCTTCCATACTGCAGGCTACTGCTACTGCGGTACTGTTGCCTTCTGGGCTAATCTGCTGGTGTCTGGGTATCCATGTGTGTGTGTGTGCCTCACTGGGACGATTGGTGTCACTAATCAAATATTAATGGCGCCATTGCCTGTGATCGGTGATTAATGCCCACTATATTAGCCGAAGCTGCGCACATAAATCAGTGCTGACGCGGCACTGCAGTGAAGCATCTCAAAAGCTGCATTCATCCACCTCTTTCTCTCTCCTCTTTTTCCACCAACTCAATCGAGTAATTAAGGTGAAGGGAGGCCCGATGCAACTACTACTGCTGCTAGTGATGGTTTATGTGATGATGCGTCAACCATCGCAGTAGCAACAAAGGCAAACGTTCTGAGAATCGTTTGCTTGCGTAAATATGAAATCACTGTAAATGAGATGAAGAAGAAAAAGAAGGAGGCACTTACCATAGGAGAAGCGGTTGGTGGTAATGGAGGTGGAGTAGTGATGAACGGCGTTGGGCGCTGTCTCCCCTTCAGTTGGACTTGGCTGCCGGTAGAAAGTGTGCTGCTTACTGCCACTGCTGCTGCCGTAGTCGTTTGCATATTTGGCCTTTTTTACTAAAAAGGAGCGAGGCATTGTGACGCTTGCTTTTGCTTTCAAGTGCTTTTGTTAGCAAGTGTTAAAAAGTGGAAAGTTGTTGCTGTTTTCGGTAGTTAGAATATGAGTATGGATTTGGCCGCTTGACTAGACCCGAAATGACTGCTGATCGTTTTAAGATGATAACTGGTTTTAAATGAAAAAAA